CCACTCTGTCACGCCCTAACCCCGCCCCTATGGGTTTAGCATCGTAACTGGCCAGTAATCTGGGATTACTAAAGGCCTTTGAGACAGAATAACATATAATTAGGGCTGCGGAAGCAAATATAAAAACATACATAGTCCATTGAGCTGTGCAGACATATATGGGACAGAAATTTTTGTAACTTTCATACACATATACCTAACGTTATATTGTTACATTCATTACAGAAAGAACCCACAAAAAAAAAAAAAAAAAAAAAAAATTGAGTCAGAAAGAAACCATTGCATATATATATATACACACACATAATCCCATGAAAAGTGATGGAAATAGGATTTGCAATGACCCGATGACTTTTGCCCATCATGGCAAAATCAGTCTTTAGGAATCAATCGTTGGATTTAAAATTTTGAACTCCACCTAATATCACCATTTTCCCCTTACTTTTGTCTGGCCTAATGGAAAATTTTTCACCTATGTCACAATAAATTTATGTGTTGCAGATTGTAAAATATCTTGCTAGCAGAGTAGATGTAAACGCAATAAATGCAAATGGGCTCACGGCATTGGACATTCTAAGTCAGAGCCGAAAAGGGGTGGAGGATTGGGAGATTGGAAACTCTCTCCAAGAAGCCGGAGGATTAAAAGCTGCAGATATTCCCTTGTCTGGTAATGGAAATAGATCTGCAAGGCCAAGCAATATGCTCTCCATTGTACATGACCAAAGCAGGACACCATTGGCCGCACAAACAAGTAATAAGTTGCGTAGTCAGACAGCTGCTGCAACATTGCCTTCAAATGGAAGTAATAATCCACAAATCCCGTCATTTCTGCGTCATGACACTACAAGATCATCTGCCCAAGGGTACAAATCAAAGCACAAGCTCAATGACCAGGGTCAGTGGTTGGCAAAGAAAAGGGATGCATTAATGGTGGTCGCATCACTTCTTGCAACAATGGCTTTTCAAGCAGGGGTGAATCCCCCCGGTGGTGTTTGGCAAGATGATTCCCAAGGCCAAGGCCAGCCAGAACAATCTCAACACAGAGCGGGAGAAGCTGTGATTGCGTATCATTATGAAGATTCATATAAATATTACCTTCGTGCCAACACCATAGGTTTTGTTGCGTCGCTGAGCACAATCTTGTTTCTTATAAGCGGGTTGCCCTTCAAGCGCAAGACGTTTATGTGGATTTTGATGGTGATCATGTGGTTGTCAATTACATCCATGGCATTTTCTTATGGATATTCTATAGTTGCGGTCACTCCTATAAAGGACAGGGATGCACTCCGACGCACAATGTTGGTTGCAATTCCAGTGTGGTGTGGAGTTATGGGGCTCCTGTTCCTTGGCCACACTCTTCGCTTGACAGAGAAGTGGTTGAAGAAAAAGGGGAAATCTATGTGGGAACCAGTTAGAAATTTCTTTAGGAACCAATCCAATCCCAAAGCCATTGAAGTTGTTTAAATTCGGATGACCAAGCTCGCATTATTGATTTCTCTCTCTGAAACTCTGAAAAGATCTTGTATTGCACTATGTTTTCTAATCATTTTTATTTGTGCATGAAATATGAATTGCAATTTGAAGGATTATTTGTATGCTTCTTCTGTATTATTTTATTAGTATGTTAAAATTGAACTCAAATCAATATTAATATTTTGCAGTACTTCATTTCGAGTAAAATCTGTTTTTTTTTATCCTTTATTTTCCTTTTTCTTTCAAAAATTAGAATAGATAAATATTACGCTCACAACAATGTTTTGATTTCATAGTTCAACAGTATTTCTTTCCTACATGTATGGGGAGAGAAGAAAAATCTACCATCAAATGAAGATGGATAACAATTGTGCTGTCTTTCCATGAGAGTGCATTTTGGAAGGCCCATGGCCTTATTTCTGTTCCTCTTTTTCCTAGGTACCCAATGCTAATTTCTGATTTAGCTTTTTTTAGAAAAATGCCAATGGCTATATCATCACAACCTATATAATGTTGTTGGTGGAACACAATGCCGCTCTACGTGACTGTTTTAAAAACAGGCTTACCTCAGTCAGTAAGTGTTTCGTACTATTTTTAATTTTTGTCTAGGATAGGAAATCCATTTGTGAACAATAAAAATCTGTTTAATTCTTTCAGTTGAAGTGAGCTTATGAGGATTCGCAACCGTTATGGAATGGTTTGAGGGTTGTGGATGATATAAAATGCCCATCAACTGTAATACAGCCTGCAACAGAACTTTGAAATTTATTTTGAGGGAAAAAACTAAATCGACCTTCACGGAAATAAAACTTAAGTTGATGTACTGAATTGAAACTAATAACATATAGTTAGTGGCCAAAAAGTATAATTTACTCTCTTTTTTTTAGAAGGACCAAAAAAAAAGGACCCAAAAAAAAAAAAAAAAAGAAAAAAAAAAGAGAAGTGAAATAGAAAGAAAAGCTCCATCCTTATTAATTTTCTTTTATGTTCTACCTCGTTCCAGCCAAAGAACAGAAAGTTCTTGGCAACCAAACAATCTGTTGGCTTGAGAGGATGATTCCTTGGCCCGCGCCCTTGCCTATTTTCTTTTGGGATGTCACTTTTAGAGGATGATTCCTTGGCCCTTCCTCGTGACTCTTGTTGAAGGCTTTTTGATTAATTTAATAGTATCATGGGCGTTTGTTAATGTGATTAATTATAATAATACGTTATTATTAAGAAGTTTAAAATAATTATATTTTGCATAAAAATGAGTGCAATAAACAATTTATATTTTTTTTAAAGGTGTTTAATACGTATTTTTAAAGGCACGCTTTAGTAAAATTCTTTGTTTAGTCATAAATAATCATTATTTTATGCCAAAAATATTGACATATTCAAATTAAGGGGTTGTTTGAGATAATCTAAATAAGTATACTTTTTATCTTTTTACGAAAAGATGTGCAGAAAAATAAAAAAGTGATGCGATGAAAAAAGATAAAAAGATAAAAAGATGGATTATTTTGATGTTGCCAAACTTGGTTGTATAAAAAATTACTTTATCATTATATAATTTATTTTAAAACTTTATATCCATGACTTTTTTTAATGTTGTCCATGATACACTAATTACAAATAACACATTCACTTTGTTTGGTTTGAGTTTTCTAAAAACACTTTTCAAAAAATTTTACGTTTTTATTTTTAGTATTTTTTTTGTTTTTATTGAATTTTTTTAATATTTTAAGTAATTGTTTTTATTTTTAGACACACCTAACATAAATATACTTAAAAAGTATAATTTTTGCAAAAAAATATTTAAAAAATTCACTAAATACCAAAAATATAAAAAAATACAAAAAATAATACATTTTTTGTATTTTTATGTATTTATTAATTTTGTAAAATATTTTTTCACAAATATTTTATTTTTTTTTAGATACAGCATGTATCTAAAAAAGTTTTAAAAAAAATGCTTAAAATTTAAAAAATATTCACTAAAAGCAAAAAAAAAACAAAAATAAAAATAAAAAACTTAATTTTCAAAAAACTTAATTCAAAAAACTCAAACCAAACACACTGATTTTTTTTTTAATCTTTCTTGAAGTCAATCATAAAAATTTATGTGAAATATTTTTGTAAATATTTTTAATGTTGTAATTAAAAAGTGCCTCTTCTGATTTATTTTTTTGGCTCCGCCACTACTTGTAGACTCCACACTTCATCAATTTAATCTCCACTGCATATATCCATTTAAAAAAAAAATCAAAAATTTGCAATATACAAACAAGATTTATTATGACAGTACAACAACTTTAAGCCTTTAAAGTAGATTCCAAATTCGACATAATTTTTGGGAACAAAAAATAAGCACATTCTTTTCGATTCTTTTTTTTTTTTTAAACGGCAAAGCAATAATCTTTATTGATGAAACATACGAAGTATGACAAAAACATCAATAAAGAGGAGCTTGAAGCTAACGAAAGCTTCAAGCTCCAGTTGGCGATGAGCCAACAAGAACAAAAGCAACAGAAATAGGACAAAGATAGAACCATGATAGAGCTAAACTGCCAAAATAGAACAAAACTCCCAGAAACAGAACAGAAGCAAGCAGAAAGCTCCCAGACACAGAACAAAACTACCTGCAGACAAATGAATGCGCAAAAAGACCGAAACATGTCACCAAGAACCTATGCACATGCAGAACGGAAGCCAAACTGAGAAGAACCACTACTGCCAAAAACCTCATCAGATCAGATTACCAGTGCTAAGCACCTCCACCGATCAGATTACCATGCCATGAACAAAACAACCTAAGCATCTCATGAGCGGATGCAGTGCCTTTCACCAGAAACATTGAAGAGAAGATCATTAATGGAGAATGGAAAATCTTTGGTGGAGGACTTTAACCAGATTGCAAGCCTGATGATAATAAGATCCTGCAACAACTGAGTGTTTAGTTGGGAGGCTTGAAAAAGGCACTCATTTATGATCTTCCAGATAGACCATAGAGTGACCAATGGAATGGCACGCCAGATTCTCCTCTCATTTTTCTTACAGATGTACCTTGCCCACCACTGCAGCAGATCCTTAACAGAGGCAGGTACCACCCAAAGAATTCCCCACCATTGTAACAGCCCAGTCCAAATCCTCCAGACCATAGGACAGTGAATCAGAACATGTTGGGTTGTTTCCTACTGTGATTTATAAAAGAGACATGATGTAGAAGCCGACCTATCCAATACACCAATCCGTTGCAAGAATATGAATGTTTTAACCTTGTGTTTCCATGCGAGCCAACCAAAAAATTGCATTTTGGGAGGCAGATAGTTGAGCCAAACCAAACCACTTGAATTAGAAGTGTTACCGAAGGCAAGGTTAGAATGATTATAAAGATTAGAAACAAGAGACTGATCAGGTTTTAGTGCTGTCCAAACTGCACTATCATCAACACCTTGATTCAAGGAGGGAGGTGCTGCTACGGTGATAAGAAGTCTATTGAGCTCATCTTTTTCCCATTCAAAGAGTGCTCTCCTGAAGGTAAACAACCAGATTGCAGCTGAACTTGACACAAACTCCTTGAGAAGACCCTCCTTGTTATTGGACAGTTGAAAAAGCCTGGGAAAATCATCTTTGAGGTAGAGAGCCCCACACCAGTGATCATACCAAAACTTGATTCTACAACCATTCCCCACTTTCATATGAAGATTGCTAACATAAAACAATGAAAGGGACTCTTGCTTATCTGCTGCTGCCACAGTGCCACCCCAGATAGTTGAATGATGGTTACTAGAGCAGAGGTTTGGAAGCCATGACCCTCCTAGAAACTTGTACTTACTACATAAGACCCTCTTCCATAATGATTCATGATCAGAGGCAAACCTCCACCACCATTTGAGTAATAGGCACACATTCACATCCTTTATTCTTTTGATGCCCAATCCACCTTGTTTTATACTCTTTGTTACCTCTGTCCATCTAACAAGATGAATCCTCCTCTTTTGATCAGGGCCTCCCCAAAGAAATGAAGCTTGAATTTTGTCTATCTCCTTAGCTACTCCTTCAGGTTACTTAAACAGAGATAAGTAAAATATTGGTAGACATGACAACATTGCCTTCACTAAAGCCAACCTCCCAGCAAAGGAGAGAAACCTCATTTTTCCATCCAGCAAGCCTCATGTTAAATTTATCAACAACTGGTTTCCACATCCTCTTTCTTTTGGGAATAGCACCCAGAGGCAATCCAAGATACTTGAGTGGTAAACTTTGAGTCTTGGAATTCAACAGATATGCAAACTCCGCTAGAGCAGTGCCTGAAATACCAACCCCATAAACCAAACTTTTATGATAATTGATTTTGAGACCTGAAGCTACCTCAAAGCACCTGAGGATTCTTTTCAAACTGAGGACTTCTGATAACGCAGCTTCACAGAACAAGAGAGAGTCATTTGCAAATTGGAGGTGGGACAGCTGAGCTTGATTATTTCCAATGACAACCCCTTTGAGCAGATTCAACTCCCTAGCTCTCTGTAGGAGAATGTTTAGTGCTTCAACAACCAAATTAAAAAGAAATGGCGATAAAAGATCACCTTGTCTGAGGCCTTTTTGATGATGAAATTCCTTAGTTGGTGAGCCATTAACAAGGATTGAAATCCTTGCAGAAGAGACACATTCCTTGATCCATGAGATCCATTTGGTACCAAACTCGAAGTTTGCTAACATTGAGAGAAGAAAGCCTCAATTGAGAGAACTTGATTATTTCCAATGACAACCCCTTTGAGCAGATTCAACTCCCTAGCTCTTTGAAGGAGAATGTTTAGTGCTTCTACAACCAAATTAAAAAGAAATGGGGATAGAGGATCACCTTGTCTAAGGCCTTTTTTAGGATAAAATTCCCTAATTGGTGAGCCCTTAACAAGGATTGAAATTCTTGCAGTAGAGACACATTCCTTGATCCATGAAATCCATTTGGTGCCAAACCCAAAGTTTGAGAGAAGAAAGTCCCAATTAATAGAGTCAAAAGCCTTTTCAAAATCTAACTTGAATAACAGCCCTGATTTCTTAGTTTTAAGCCAGCTATCAACAATTTCATTTACAACCAAAACTCCGTCCAAAATGTTTCTACCTCCCAAGAAAGCTGATTGTGAGTCACCAATAATCATAGGCATAACTTTTTTGAGTCTAGATGCAAGGACGTTAGAGAGAATTTTGTACACAGAACCAACAAAGCTTATAGGTCTAAACTCATTTAAGGTGATAGCTTTCTCTTTCTTTGGAATCAGTGTGATAAAGGTACTGTTAAAACCTGATGCTAATCTGCCACTAGAATGGAATTCCTTCATAAAGTTGAGCACCTCCTCCTTAAGCATCTTCCAAAACTTTTGAAAAAACATCATGTTAAATCCATCCGGCCCAGGAGCTTTGTTCCCATTACAATCAATTACAGCTGCCCAGACTTCTTCTTCAGAGAACTTTGCCTCAAGCAAATGAAATTGATCACTAAGCCTTACACTCTTGAAATCTCCTACAAGAACTGGTTTATTCTTCCAAGCTTCAGAGAAATGATGAGAAAAGTGTGACCACATTTCTTTTTTGACTTGATCTGGTTCCTAAAAAACAACTTTCCCAATTGTGATAGAATTGAGAGAATTTCTATTTTGCCTACAAGTAGCCATAACATGGAAAAATCTTGTATTTTTATCGCCTTTCATGTTCCAATCTTGCCTAGACTTTGGGAGCCATTCCCATTCTAACTTCTTGCTCAACATCTACATTTCATTCCTTTTCTCTCTTTGCTGCATTAGTTCTTCCTCCACCAGAGGCCTATTCTCAACTTTCAAATCAATCTGATGAAGTTCATTCTCAGCTTTCAAATCAATCTGATGAAGTTCATTTTCAATAACTTGCAGTTTAGTTGAGACATCACCATATACCTCTTTACTCCATTTTTTTAAAGCCAGCTTGAGTACATGCAACTTTCTCTGAAGGATGAAGCCAGCTAGCCTAGAGAACTGTGAGTCCCTCCAAGCTTGTTCCACAAAGGATGCAAAATTTAAATGCAACATCCAGGTATTTAAGAACTTAAATGGTTTAGGCCGCCCCCAATCTCTAGCATCCTCCATAAGTACAATAGGGCAGTGATCAGATGAGACTCTAGCAAGACCCCATTGATTGAGCTTGAATTTTTCCAGCCATTCAGGACTGAGTAGAAACCTATCTATTCTACTCCACTTGTGACCATCAAATGCATTACACCAGGTGTATTTTCTGCCAAGCAATGGAAGATCAACTACCTCACATCTATCAATAAAATTGTTGAAATCCTTCATGCCCCTATCCCTGAGAGATACACCTACTTTTTCCCCTATATTTCGAATCTCATTGAAGTCACCACCAATACACCAAGGCATGGGGAAATGTGCTTTCAAATTTAGCAGAGATTCCCAACATTTCCTTCTCCTTATGATGTCATTGAGAGCATGAATATTAACTATAACACAATCAAATGAGTTGAATAGCTTACCAGATAGGAGAATGAAATTTCTGCTGCAGCAGCACTTAGTAAGCTCAAATATACTTGGATCCCATATGCAAAATAGACCACCAGCCAATCCTTCAGCATCCACATTCATGAATTCAAGCCTATCTCTAGGCTAGACACTTTTCACCATCAAATTGGTTAGACTTGATTTTTTTGTTTCTTGGAACAAAGCCATGTCAATCTTTCTTTCAAATAGCAACTTCTTAATTTTGCTCCTCTTTTCGTGCCTTCCTAGCCCTCTGATATTCCAACTTAATGACTTCATATGAATAAAAAACACTCTGATAATACCCAGTGGTTGCAGATTATTCCACATTACCCTTCCCTCTTGCCAATCTCTCATTATCTTTTTCCTCAATTTGTGCTAATTTTCTAATAACCTCAGGTTCCTGACCCTTGAAATCTGAACTCAATCTTTGCCCAGTTGCAGTATGGATTGAGCTTCTTGAACAATCCACTATCAGGAAATTGTTGAAATTCTGGACCATAATTTGAAGCAGGTATAGCTGCAGAACCTGATCTTGAGCTTTTGGTGACTCTCTTATTTGAGGTTGCACCCTTCTATCCTATTCTTCTAGCAAAGCTAGAGAACCTACCAGCTAGCAAACAGTGCTTGAAACCTTCACTTCTAATCCCTTTCCTCTTTCCTTTCTTCAGTCATTGAGTAATAGAGCTTGAAATAATTGGACTGGAGCTAACACTTAATTTTGATTGAGAGCCCACCCAAGATGATTCACAAACTAGTCTTGCAGAAGGAGGCTTTAGTCCAACACTTGAGAGCCCAATAGGTAGTGGGCCAAATGGATCTTGACACAAAGCAATCTCCAAACGGATACCAGGCCTATCTTTGAGAGGTTGGCTTAGACTTTTAATGGAGCCTGGGGTGATAGATTGATCTTGCACTGTAGATGCTAGTACACATTTTTGAGCTTCATGAGTGCCCCCTACTAACTGTTACGTGTTATCCATAAGTTGAGCTTCCACACCGTTTTGAAAATCATGATTACACTGTCTCTGATGCTAGCTATCTACTGGTAATGATGATTCCACAACATCTACACCTATTTCATTTGAAAAACCCACGCAATCCCTGGTCTGTTCCACTGCTGATACATGGCTTAAACTGCCCCCATCAGCCAGCTCAGCTGGTGACCTTATCTGGGATGCCAAATCCCCTAATGCCACCTTAGGTGTTAATGCCACATCAACTGCATTGTCAGCATCTTCTTGCACCAAGTTGGCCTCTGCAGGGAGAGGGAGCACCCCATTGATGTTGAAGTAAACCTCTTTGACTGTGGCATTGGAGTTCAATCCAACGAAGCTGATGCTGTCCTCTTCTGAACTCAGCTCCTCAACGACTCTAATCGGATATATTTTTCCTTTACACTCCATATTTAGACTTGTATTGATTGGATCCATTACATTGGTAACAATCTTGAAACGACCACATCGGAAGGATTTGGGGGTACTGACATCCCCATTAAGAAGGACCACCTCTCTCTAAAGCTGTCCAATCTTACGTAAAGTATCTGAGTTCCACAGGTTAAGGGGCACACCATAGTAGTTAACCCAGACACACCTCTCCTATTGAAGATACATGCCTGACCTCTATTCTGTGATATACTCACACCAGTTATGGAACCAAGACTTAAACAGAGTCAGCTTACTCACCATCTCTTCCTTGGAGCTGAATGAGATAATAACGTCTCGCCCTCCTCCCTCTCTTACCAAAACATTCTTTGCCCCTTTTTTTATGAGTTCATTTCTCACCTGCTAAGCAAAGTAATGTGGTTTTAGCCTCATAATCATGCTTTCGTAGAGCCACCCATTTCTGATTTCATCTACTTTAATAGTTGTCGAAGGTTGATATCTGGGTTCAACTCCCTTTATGACCTCTACAAATGACCTACCATCAGTGCGTTGTTGCTAGATCTGTTTTGATGCTGCCATACTGGCCTTCATGGGTTCAAAATATCTTGGTGGTAGCAGATTCTACCTTTGCCTATCCACTCTTTCTTTACCATATTCTGCAACTTTAACTGATAAAGACTTATCATCCACCCACAAGCCATTGGCCTTTTGCTCAGCTACATCAGCTGCAATAGAACAATCATAACGCACAAACCCAAATCTGGTGTTTGTTGCTCTCCTCCTCTTTTGTGGAATGAAAACATCTTTCACCACACCAAACTTGTTGAATAGATCATGGAGCTTTCTAGGTACCATTGATTCAGGCAAGTTATCCACAAATAATGTAAACAAAGATGCTCTTTGATTCTCAAATCGTGAGTCAGTATGCAAATGTCTACCTCTTTGTTTAACCACTGGTATCCTGCCTTCCCTTGCTCCACTTTCCATATTGCATCCACTTCCTCTTTAGTGTGTAATCTTTTTCGATTCTTCTCTTAGTTCCTTCTAAAAAAAATGATGGGCCAAAAAATTTGATTTTAAGAAAACAAAGATGAAATCACAAGAAATACTAGGTAATTTTTGAAAGAAACGATAAGTTCAAGTTCTATTCTCTGTTCTTCGAGGTTACTTGTCACCTTAGATTCAGTAATTATTTGTAAATGTAAAATAGAAGATTACAGTGTCCTAAAAGTAGTCGAAAAATAAACCCAATAGCAGATACAACGTTCTTCATGTTGATGACAGTGGTGAGATAAACCATCAGGTTTGCTGATGTCCCTGTCGACCCCAGCTTCTCAAACGTCTCATTTCCTGCAATCTTTTTAAGCTTAGACACATGGTGAAGAACAACTAAAGATTGTTTATAAAAATATGCTTCCAAATCAAGATATCTATGACATATTAATGATTAACTGTATCAAAAGGCTAAAATCCTGTTACATAATATCAATCTCTCTCTTTTAACAATGATGAAGGGCATGGCCTTAACACCACTGTAGTTGATGACTGGCTCATCATCAGATGAATCAACCTTTGCTTTCTCCATTGTTGTTCTTTCTTTCTTGCACACCACGGGGTGTGTGAGAGAAACTGTGACGTTTTCTCTGCCTCTTTTGTTGTGCTTTGTTTTGTAGGGCAGTTATACTTCACATGTATTGTTTTAGAAGGGGTCAAACTTGGTTAAAGTATTTCTTTCCCCACAATAAATGCCTTTTACAATGTCTTTTGGGTCCTTTTGTTTGGAGGAAGGATTTTCTGTCTTCAAATAATTTGTCCTTTATCTCAATTCACTTATAACTATTGAATATATCTTGAGATTTTCACATTTTGAAATTCTCATATAATCCAATAGCAGTGAGTGAATTGGGACAGGGGGACATGATTATTTAGGGATAAAGAATCCTTGTCCATTTTGTTTTGAGTGGTTGGATGAGTAGGATTGTTAATAAGAGAATTATTTGTGAGGGGACATGTTAGTATTTGTTATCAATATTAAATAATGCATAAAGAGCACTTGTTAGTATTTGTCTTTTAAATTGTTATCGATATTAAATAATAAATAAAATATTTTACATAAATATATTGAAATTATATTTCATAAATATATATATTTTTGGTACTATTTTATTTTTTTAATATAATTTTTTTTGGTATAAATATTGTTATACTATTATATTTTTATATTAAATTATTTTGATATAAAGAATGATGGAATAATTAAAAAAAAAATGATAGGAAAAAGACCACACTAATAAAGTAGAGTAAATAAATTAGGTAGGATAATAAAGGGCAAAATAGTAAATCCCCCTCTATTCCCAAGTGATTGTTTTTCTAATACCATCTCCCAGGGGGACTACTAATCCCATCTATGAAGGCGTATCATAATCCTAAGGTATTGTGAATCCCCTTCCTCATTTTTCAAACAAACACAATATTAGTGGGTCTTATATTCATCATAATCCAATCCCATCCCGTATAACCTAAAACAAACGGACCCTTTGGATTTTCAGAATGTGCTTTAGATTTTTGGTTCTGGCTAACACGCAGTGGCGGAGCCAGAAATTTAATATAGGGGGGCACTTATTAATTACAATCTCAAATTTTTTCCCCCAATCAATAACGATAACATAATAATAATTTTTGAGCTAATGTTAAACATTAAAAATTAATATTCATTACAAAAAAAATTTAATTTTAAACTTTTACAATTGACCCCGACGAGTTTTCATCTTTTGAAATCTTTCCATAATAGTATCATTGTTAATGCCATAAAAAATATCTCTCTCAATGTAAACAACCAAGCTATCATTCATCCATTCATCACCCATTCAGTCCTAGGGTTAATTTCGTGAATAAATGGGGAACTGAGGGTTTTTATTTTCAACTGATTTTTTGCTAATTTCTATTAATAGTTTAAGCAAAGTATTATTTTGTTTTATTATTATTTGTAAAGAAATATTACTATTTAAGTTATCAGATTTTATTTCTTCACTATATTTAACACTCATACAAATGTTATTAGCAAGGCCGAGAAATCAGGCTCTGGTATCAATTTCAATTGCAAATTTTGAGAATTTAATTTAATATTAACTCTTTCAAAAAAAATTGTTGGTAATCGATACTTGCCTTTTCTAAGGATATTTTATTTTTAATCCTGACAATTCTCTGGTTATAATTTATTATAGATTATTCAGAAGCAATAACCAAAAAAGAATTTAATCTATTTAACTTACTTTATAATTTAGAAATATAATCTAAATTATCTTTTATTTCAACTCTAACTGTTGTAATTAAACAAATATAATTATTAATTAAGTATTCAAATTTTCATTATTATTATTATTTTATAATATTAAGTTTAATTAATTGTGATGGAAGGTTTGTAATAACAGCTTTGTAGTGGTATGAAGAGAATACAGATAGAAGTTTTGTGAAAGGGCTTGTGATGCAATTTATATAATTATGATTAATTAAGACCCTTGGATTGTATTACTAGATGAGGTGGCAGAGTATGATGAAAGTGCAGAAAGATGGGTGGAGGGAAGAGTGCAGGAGGGGATCCACTTCCCTATTGGGGAGGGCTATGTATTAACTGCAGAGTGTAAAAGCCAGATCCCACTTTATAAAAAAAAAAAAAAATTTCAAAAGTTAAGGGGGGCACGTGACCCCCCTGAGCCCCAC